TTTGAAAATGTGGTATTGGGACATGCTTTGTCAGTTTTCATTCAAATGTAGTACATAAGATCATACATGTTAGGATACATGTCCCCGACCGTCCGTGAGTTCCTGAGTATGTCCGTCCGACCGTCCGTGTGTCCGTCTGTCCCGTGCATCAGTCTGTCCAACGTCATATTTCAGACGATTGACAGCCATCTGACTTTTTGGCCTTACTACTATATTTCCACAATTTACGTACCATTTTCATTCGTATTTGGCACATACATCATACATATCAGTGTGTTTCATAATCAGATCAAAGATGGCCGAATAACGGCTGTTTTTATTTTGGCCATATTACTATGACACGAAACACGTGTTTTATGTAAATAAACAATCTGTTGTATATGCCACTTGGAACTCAAGTTTCAAGGACACACTCGTGACAACCCCTCCGCTTTAATATGATGAGCACAAAGAGAACTTAACGGGGACTGTGTCATTTTCAATGACTTGTTCTTTTTAATTTAAATAAAATTACTTGACACTAAAAGAAATGAAAAACTGCTATTACACACAAAGACAAAAAATAAATGTTTATATTTATTTATTTTTTTGGGAGCTAAAATTAAATTTTTGATAAAAATAAAGCAAAATTTTGATGACAATTTTAAAGGGAAAATTAAAAACATGTATGTTTACATTGATTTAAAACAAAAAATGCCTTGAAACCTTTTTTATCTAGGCCTTACAGCCACTTATGCATCAAAATTGATATATTTTTGAAAGGTGAAACTTCTTTTTTTTTGTTCATCATTATATACCAACATTACAGGGTATGTTATTTGTATTTGTAGAATAAAGACCATTGCCGGGATGGAGAGAAAAAAGGAAATGGAAAATGATGAAGACAGTGATGTAGAAGGGCCTACAGCAGGTAATCCTGAAAATTATCTTTGACCTGTTTTACATTGTTTCTAAAATCTGGAATGCTTTGACCATAAAAATAAAACAAAAAACAACACAATTAAATGATTAAAATTACGTTTTGTAATTAACTAAAAAATTTTGCAACCTATTTTCATATAAAGATGTGAGTTCTGAGGAGGATGTGGCAGATGATGCTGAATGGTTCCGCAGAGAAGTCGGAGAAGAACCAGATCCAGGTGGGTATAAGAGACTTGGCTAGTTTCATTTTTGTGAGCAACATAATGAGGAGGAAATCTAACATCAATATTACTAAGTCCATATTTAGATGGAGTCTAAAAATAAAGACATATTAGTTTATCTTTGTATCTGTTAGGTGTTGACTCATCAAAGAAACCAGATTATTACATATGTACTGCAGTTTATTTTGATGTCCCTGAAATCAAAATCGGTATTTCAACACCTCATTTGCAAATGTGGTCTGAGAGCAAACAAAGTAGTCTCTTCAGGAGTACCTTTTTTCGAAACATGGCAGAAATAAACATTATTAAGAAGTACTATATTTTTCTCTTGGTGTACATGAATATACTTGCCGAGTGAAATGAAATTTGAGTAACAGTAATGGTACCTTTAGCCAGTCACTTATTTTGACTAAAACTAATTTGCATATCACCCATGCAATAATGTTTTTGGTATTTTCATGGTCGATATGAACATGGTATTTCCATTGGCTACCGAACTATTTTTATTCTATAAACACATTTTCGGCTGCTATTTTTGTTCGGTTCAAATCGTCAGGCAACATTTTTGAACATGGTATTTCCATTGGCTACCGAACTATTTTTATTCTATAAACACATTTTCGGCTGCTATTTTTGTTCGGTTCAAATCGTCAGGCAACATTTTTGGCGTGTTCGGTGTACGTCACATGGAATACTACGATTAGGAGAACTTAATGTATGTTGAACACCTGGAAACTGAGTTTTATAAATCTTGAAGGGCTCTCGGTTTGTTACACGTTCTTTCTTTAATATGAAATAATCCAATATGGAACATGTAATAATAACAGAACTCCACACCCTCCCCGTGGCTTTCGTTGCATATGGAAGTTATTTTCACTCAAGATGTGGTGTATTCTGCTGTACTTTCACTCGCTTCGCTCGTGAAAATACGGCCGTAGGATACACCGCATCGCTCGTGACAATAACTTCCATACGCAATGAAAGCCACAGGGAGGGTGTGGGGTTCTGTCATAGAACTTTCACGATTAACTTTTTTTTTTTTTTCGCCATTTTGAGCTACACCAAACAGCACTACTTTTTACTTGAAAATACACTTAGGTGATCAGGTGTAATGTAACTACACCATTACAAAACTATGAAATAAAGTTGTCCCAAAAATGTCACAGTATCACTCTTGGCTTGAACTGATTATGTTTAAAATTTACTTTACAAATTTTTCCCTTTAAATGACTGGTATTGTGAGAATCCAGTATGAATTCTGTAATATATGTAATAAAATACTCAAATAAAAGGTTGCCATTTTGTCATCTTTCACAAAATAAGCCTTTTTTTTTTTCAGATTCCTTCCCGTCTCAATCTCGTAAACCACCCCCCAAAAGGAAGCTAACTACCGAAAGAAGTGGTGGTCCTTGGAAGAAAGCAAAGAGAGAAGAAAAGCCAACTGCAAAACTGGAAGATAAAAGAAAATGGAAAGTTGAAACCAAACAAAAATCTAAAAGTGGTCCTGTTAAAGTTTTAGGAAAATTTTCCAAAAAAGTCAACCCCAAAGATAAAAGACAATTTCAGAAGGGTAAACAGAGTAAAAAAACAGATAAGAAAATGTCTAATGTTCACAAAAAGAAGCAGTCTCATGTGAAAAAATCATCCCAGTCCCACAAAACAAAGAGGAAAAGATGAGAATTTCGGATTTGAATGGTTTACAGATGGGCTGGAGTTGTTAAATGAAAGTCTGATTCAAGTTCTCACTCCCAATTTAAAAGTGTAAATACTGTAAACACATCAATTTTTCACTTGGTTTTATTTTCGCTTTTTTTTGTTTTTTACTGGGAAGTGAAATCTGCTAAATTGAATTCACATGAACATGGTTAATTGCAATTGAAGTTTTTTTTCATTTGAAAATTTATGAATTTAAAACCTCAAAATACTGAAATAGTGAAATATAAGTGAAAAGAAATGCTTTTACAGTATCATGTTTCGAAATATGTCCTTATCAAGATGACTGTAGAATATTCAATTTCTAGAATATATTATATTGGTATTTTTTCTCACAAAATAATCATATTTAATTTGGGTACAAGGTGTCCGTGTGATCTTCCACAGCATTTTCTCATGGTCATGCTTTGACCGATTGTGTTTAATGACAATACAAAGTTGTTTAACATGTGGCTTGATGGAGTTAATGCAAAGCTTACTTACAAGATTGTACCTGATTGGCTACCCAACCCTTATCCCTGAAATCCTGACCAATCAGAGAGCAGCTTGTTTGTTGACAATTTTTCTTCAACATATGAAATTCTGCCTTGTACATATATATGCTTCAACTCAACTGAACTGCGTTGATGTGCGACAATTTGATTTTTAGTTTTAAACATTTTACTCTTATTGTTTTCATTAACAGGGCATATTCAGACATATACTCTGCATTTTTAAAAAGGTCATTAAAACAAACTGATGTGCCATTTGGAAATTCCAAAAAATTAAAACTTTTAAGTCTGATAACAATCTTGAGTTACTTTAAAGACGACATTACTTTCAACACAATCTACACAGGTGGCTCAATTTGCTCTGTTAATCAAGCTTAGGTTTGATTGGACATTGACAAATAAGTAATGTCTTTTCTGATTGGGTTAGATAATAAAGTGTTTCTTCATCAGTAAAATACAACATTCAAGTTTTGTTTCACAACATTGTCGAATTTTCACACTTCATATATGGCAGATTCTGTGTTGCACATATTTCAATATCAAGTACAATTACATCTAGATAAATGAACTCCCTAGTTGGTCAGAAAAATGTGAAAATAAAATTTAACCATTATAATATGCTAAACAACAAAATTGTTGTCTATTATAGAAATTAAGATCTTGTCTTTGTTGAGGTGATTGTTGTGTCCTAACCTTCCCCTTCCCCTTCCC